ATGGTAATTATTAATATTCAATCATTGACTATTTTCATTTTTATTAAATTAACAATATTTATTAATATCCACTCTTGATAAATATTTTGTAGATTCTATACAAATTGATTTAGCTATTCCAGATTACTTTTCTGAATAAGTTAAATCTTGTCACTTTATTACATATTAAATTATTTATTATTTATTTTATTTATCTGGCTACTATGATTGTGATATTAAATATCTCGAGAATGATATTACAGTCAAACCTCGATAAACTGAACTATTGTAAACCAATTTTCGCTTTATAATGATTCAAAATTGGTTAACCAAATCATGTTTAATAAAAATTATTTCATTAAGCCGAATTTTATTAATTATAACCCCCGCCCTACTTATAAAAAAAAAATCGTTGAAAAGTTCTTATAACTTATAAAACCATTTTTTGCTTTTAATTTCTTCCTTCCCCAAGAAATCTATACAAACCATATTTTTTCTGAAAGTTCTCGATGTGCTCTGTATTATCGTGCTAAAACGATCCCAATAGAGCTGATTTCCGAAAAGAATTAAGCTTCCGGAGTCAAAATCCATAGGTTTCTTTGAAAGGCTATTACTCCATAACTGGAAGAGCTACAGGCGCATAAAGTTTGCGTTTTAAAGGTCAAATGTAATTGAATGTTTTACTTGGGGGCACGAAAATTGTTAAATAACGAGTTTACGTTCAATTCATTCGTCAAAGTCCGTTGTACAGAAAACGTGCCATGTCAATCATATATTGACTCCGACTATTATTACAGTTTAAATAGAAGTAATGTCAGTTATGGCTTATAAAAGTAAAGAAACATTCAGAAGCCAAAGTTTATCCAGTCTCTATACGATAGTTTAATTGAGTCGTGGGTTATTATTTAGCTTGGCAAGAAAATAGGTGAAATAACCACAGACAGACTTGGTTATCTTATTATTTAGAGATGCTTTAAAGCTTTTTATTATTAAAAAGAAAATTTTGAAAGGCTTATTAAATAACGGCAAGAGGGTTAAACAAAATAATTATTAACCATGTTATTTCATTTATTTTATTATTATATTGTTTAATGCTAATAAAGATAAAAAGAATATTGTTTAATAGTCTAATGCTAATGCCAATTAATATATAAAAAAAGATTTATTTGATTATGTTAATATTAAGATTGTTGAAGCTGTTGATATAGTAAATAACTCTTAACGAACAATTCTATTTTATAATTTAATCATCGTCCCATTCATCATCGTCATCTTCCTCTTCGTCTATATTTATTTAAAAGTTTTATTGTTAGTTTCAAAATAACAACTTTTTATTTAGCACTTCAAAAAAAAAATATATTATATATATTAATTACTAACCAGAATCATTCCTTAAAGCAGTTGAACGATTTTTAATGGCACTTGCTAATGCTCTTGCAAGGTCATTACCACCACTCGTTGGACTAGTAGGTTCTTCCACAAATGATGACTGTCGAGTAGGTTCACCAACCTAAATATTATTAATGTTGTTATATAATTTAAATAAATGTTAATTAATAAATAAATAAAAGATAAAATAATAATAATAAAAAATCATCCCAAATAAAAATAATATTAATGTTAGCATAACATACTTTTTTTAGTTTTGCGCCTGAAACACCTCCAGTATTACGAATAGCTTCCAATAATCCTGACCTAGAAGCATTTGATGCTGGTAATCCCTCAGAATTACTACTGGTATTACTAGAGGATGGTGGTGGTGGTGGTGGTGGCGGCGGCGGCACTCCAGTAGGAACTCCACGCGAACTAGGTGGTGGTGGCGGTGGAGGTGGTGGTGGTGGAGGTGGTGGTGGAGCTCCACTGGGAATTCCGAGCGAACTAGGTGGTGATGGAACATTTCTGTTATTATTTGATGATGATGATGATGGTGGTGGTGGTGGCGGCGGTGCTGATTGTGGAGTAGCTGGAACACGAGCAGGGGGGAGTGATGGTGGTGTTGATGGTCTATTTGAAACTCTGGCAGCTGGTAATGGAGGCGGTGGTGGTTGTGAAGTTGTAGGACGAGTTGGAGGTGGTGGTGGTGGTGGAGCAGGTGATGTTATTTGAGGAGGAACAGGTGGTGGTGGTGGTGGAATAGTTGGTGTTGGAAGCGATGGTTTTGGTTTACTAATCTCGTTGTCGTTATATGTAGGTTTACGTGGTGATTGAGCAGATGATGTTATTTGAGGAACAATAGGTGGTGGAAGAACTGGTGCTGGAAACGATGGTTTTGATTGATGATTGTTACGACTAATCTCGTTGTTGTTATGTGTAGATTTGCGTGGTGGTTGAACTGATGATGTTATTTGAGGAGCAATAGGTGGTGGAAGAATTTGCGCTGGAAGCGATGGTTTTGATTGATGATGATTATTACTAGTCTCATTGTTGATGTATGTAGATTTACGTGGCGGTGGTGGGGGTGGTATTTTTTTTGATTGCCTATCTGGAGTTGGTGGTGGCACTTTTTTATTTTTTGTTTTATTGGATTTGGTAATATTTTCAATACCGCCATTTTCTTTAATAAATTGTTGAATAAAATCTTTATGCACTACGATTTCCTCCTACAAATACACATTTTTAAAAGTATGTGGGTGTAAAAGGTAAATGCAAGTAGAATGATGGACATGTTATTTTATCAATTTATTATAAAAAAAATTTTTTTTATTTGTTCTAACTATCTAATTGATCAATTACCTGACTTATATCTAATTTATCTACTAATGTATCAATCAAGCTTTTCCACGTAGGATCAATATTTTGTGCCTATTAAAAATATAAATCAAAGATTAAAATCTATAATTTAATCATATTAATTAATATTTTATAAAAAAAAAATTTTTTTTAAATAACTTACAACATATCCGTCATCAATGTTATAACCAATATGACCAATATGTCTAAATAAAATAAAAATTTAATGAATGTTAAATATAATATTATCAAAAAAAAAAAAAAAAAAAAAGAGAGAGAGAAACAAATTCCATTATAAACCTAAATCCTGTTGGACTACTAATTTTGGATTTATCAATTCCAACTTTTTTATTTTTACTCTTTCCCAACAATCCTCCGCCGCCTCCACCGCTTTTATTAGAATTTTTGTATTTTTTAACTGTTTTATTATTCATTCAAAAAAATTTTAATTAGCATACTAATATGTATGTTAGAGAACAATTGAACCATTGAACTTATTTCTTATTTATTATTAATTCACCTTTGGGATTATTTTCTTTGTTGATAACTTTTTTGTACATGTTTTTTGCTTCATTTTCATTGGCAAAAGAAAATCCAACCATATATTTCTATAGAAAAATAAATTATAAGTATGTATATATATATATATTATAAATATGACAAATTAATAGTAAATATAACATACATCACTGGAAAAACTATGGAAATAAGGACAATCTTGATTATATTGAAAATCAGAATATAATTCATGTTCCCATACCACACCACGATTATTCTAATTATTAATTAGTTATAAGTTAGACATCAGTTTAAAAAAAGCAAAAGAATTATTATATTTGGAATCGTAGTAAATAATTACCGTTAAATCAACAATCCTGAAATAAAAAGATTTCTTATTTTCGTCAAAAACAAAGGCAACAGCGCCCATAATATTGCTATAAGTCCATCTGTTAGGATCAGGATGTGCAAAATAAAGTCTTGCAACTGTGGCAGCTAAAATTTTCTATAGATTATTTGTATAAAAAAGATTTTTTATTATTAGGGTAGTCCATGGATTTTATACATACATGTTGATAAAAATATATATATTTAAATACATTTTTGTCAGTTGGAATAACTTCTTTAATGGTTTTTTTATCTTCAGAGTTTGCGAGGGTAACCGAAGGCATAATGCTTCTAAATAATAATTAACTTATGACGTAGGTTCCATTATTTATATTATTTAGCAAATTGTAATATTGTACTACCAATAATAATGTGACGAGTATTTTTTTATTAAAAATCAACTACTACAAAGTTTACAAGAAAATCTTTGAAGAAAAATGGTATAAATGAAATCATAATCACATAATTGAAGAAGTTTCCTTGGAGTAAATAATCCATCCGATTCTTTGGCAACACAATAATAGTAGCCAAGTGAAATAATTAATTAATAGACTTCAAAAAAAGAAGATCACTTCTATTCTGAAATTTCTATTACTATCAATTTTTTTTTGATGATTTCCAAGATTACCCGTACAACCCTTAGCTTCGGTTTTCGGACGCCGAAAATTTATATTTTGCCCAGCAGATCATTTATAATCTTATAGTAACAATTGGTTAGCTTCAAAACTTATCGGCTAGTTTTTTCTCGAACTAAAAATTGGCAGAGCTTGGCATTTTGAAAATTCGAAATTTCGTCATCATTATTATTTATTATACGCAGTGACCAAGTAAATTTCATGCAACAAAAAATTTATTCCCTTTTTTTTATTATAGAAAAAGGGGGACTTCATTAATTGATCAAAAAGGTAATATAGTTTTTTAAAATATAACGATTTTATCTCGGTATAATAGCATTTTTTTTGTCTTAAAAAAAAATTTAAATTCATGTTGATTTCAACATGGAAGAAGGTAACAGAGAAAATCAAACACAAGTTAAAAGACTAACAAGAAAAAAACGGAAGGCTATTATCAGGTGTCATCGAAAGTAGAAAAATCAAAACATTTGCAATTTAACATCTCTCGAAAATAGAAAATTCCTTCCCCAAAAATTAAGTTTAACAAAAGTCGATTTTCAACATCTCCTCAACATCAACATCAACGTGCCATGTTGACTTCTCTCTTCCCTCCCCGGAATGATCACATCATGATCGATAAGAGAGTATTAACTTCGTGAAACTACAAATTCCTTTTTATAGATAAAATTAACAATTAATCTTGAGATTGAATGTTGCACTGGATTTGATTAATAATAATAATAATTTGACAGCCAAAAAGATATGATGCAAAAGGCCCTGAGTTTGACATTTGATTCTTGAAGAACCTGTCGATATGTTCAAGTTGTTATTAAATCTGACACCCAACATCTTAAAGGGTAAAGATGAAAACACAAGATGATGATGATGCAACTACTCTAATGCTTTCCAGATGGAGTGCTAAATGTTATTATTTGCAATAATCATCAACGCACTACTTTTTTTTCATTTTGGTATTTATCTATCCTCTCTTTTATTCTTTGCTTTAAAGGATGATCAATGCTTGGATGATGCAATTATTTATTTTATAAAGAAATATATATATATATATATATATATATATATATCAATCATCATTAATACTTGATAAAGAAATCTTTCAGTAAAAAGGCCATAAATTAGTGATCAGATGAAGGGAAATTGGGATCTAATGAACATTGATAAGAAAATCGTTATATTTTCCGTTTCTTGCTAGGTTTTCAGTAAGCTTCCATTAACACCTTCACATTTGTTTTTTCTTTCAGTCCTTCTTTGATAAATCCTGTAGGTAATTCTTCCTTTTATTTAAATATTCTTAATATCATTTATTTTGAAAATATAGGGTGCAATTTTTTCACCTTGCTCTTTTTTAAAATGTTGTAATTTTTAGGTTCCATGATGGATCTGATGTAAATTAGTTTCATATCAAATCTATGTTCTTATATATCATTTAAGTAGAATATCATTATCATACATCATATTATTATTAGAACATTATAATAATTGTAATTATATATAATAAGACAATTCTTTTGTTAGATTGGCCTCATTCAAGTCTAATAAGAAAATTAATTCAATTATTCAAATAAAACAATTATTGATTGTTTAGCCCTTTCTATTCCAAGTTTAAACTTCAACCAATCTATTATTTTTACTACACTTGAATTCTTTTAGAATAAAAAAAAATAATTGGCAGAGATATTGCTATTATTTAAACTGACCAATTAATGTTTGTTAAATCACAATCGCTTGCAGTTGGTCAACATTCTGGGTAAAACCCACACATATTGTTTTTAACCCTTTAAATATGCCATTAGCAATGTCGCTTGTTTTAATTAAGTGCACCCCATATATCTGTCTTGAAATTATGTTTGTCATCCAACATTTCAGATGCACGAAGAGGATGCTTGCTTTATCAAATTAACTAAAATCACTCATCTCGACTCGTTTTTTTTAACCGCATTTTCACATTTGATGTGAGTTCTGATGGTTAGGGTTAGTAAAAGGTTGGATCGTTTTCGTAATTGTGAAATTAAGCTGTCTGTAGGGTCAATCAGTCAGTAAAACGTCACAAGCAGTGTATACAAATCCCTCCTCCCTCAAATTTATCATACTGACCTTTACCTTTGTATATTCATTACAGAAGATCCTTAGTAGCTTCTAACTAACTGCTTTTCGGCTTCCCTTCCGGTCGTAGTGTGTGATAATAGAATGTAGGAGTAAAAATAGTGCCATCGGTACAAACAGTTGTATTATTTTGCTGCGCCGTGCGTTTTCAATAATTTATCAATTATGATCTACAACTTGCTATTTTTTATTTTATCTTGAATTAATTTATCTTAATTCCCAAAAATTTAAAAAATTTAAAACAAAGAACAAAACGAATTAAAAAAAAAAAATATATATTTTAAAAAAAAACACGTGCATCATTAAATATGTCTGTAACCACAAGACAACCACAAGTTGACTTGAGATTTTTTGAACTTTCAACAACAATAGCTCTCATAGATGCTATTCGTAAATCTTTGATGCAAGATCTTTCACGCAAAAATAAAAAATTCAAAAACACAACTTCGAGAGAACTGTCAATATTTCTTGGAAGACTTCAGATATTCCAGGAAGAAAAATTAGGAACGCGCCTAAAAGTTCCAAAAAAAGCCTCATTTCCAACAAAAATACCCTCAAAGCTTTTCAAATTTGGAGCTGCTACTATTCCCACGACCAAATCACCGATTTATCACATTCTAAAATCGGCTTATAAATTCAAATATTCGAAAAAATGGGAAAAGTGGGACTGGGATAACATAGAAGAGATCACAGAGTTGATTTCAATTCTTAGAAATGTTTTAATCGAAAAGAAGATAATTAAGATACCTATAATAAAGTTTAGTCCATCACTTGATTCAAAGCGTGTCAAAAAATTAACAAGACTTGTTGAAAAATTGGGAGGTAAATAATTTATATATATATATAATGCTGATTATTTTAAATTCATATTTGGCTCTAATTTGTTTTATTATTATTATTATTATTATTACTATTAATATATAAATAAAAGGTCAAGTAACTGACAATGATAAAAATGTTACTCATGTAATTCACAAATCAAACGATTATGAAGATCAGGATGAAGAATGGTTTAGAACTTTGGAAAAGAAAGATGGCAAAGTTCTTATACACTGGTGGTATTATCCAGATTCATATGATACTTGGGTTGAAGAAACATCTGAGCATGCCAATCCAGAACCAGCTCCTGTAAATAATGGTCCATGGAATGTTGGTGAGCGATGGATAACTGACGGCATCAAGTTTAATGAGTGGATGAATGAAGAAGACTATGAAATATCTAATATTGATAATGGTGAAAATGAATCAGGCGAAGAAAATGGTGGGAGTAAAGAGGAAGTGGTGATTAATTCAAGAAAAAGACAATATAAAAAGAAGGAAAGCCATGAGAACGACAATAAAGATAAAGTTGATTATAAAGGCAATCGTAATAATGATAAAAATAAAGAAAAATCATTGACATCAGAAACACACTCACAACTTAAACCACAAAAGCGTACTTTAGATCAGATGCAAGAATCAAATACTGCTGATAAAATAAAAAACAATATTGAATTTCGTCCAATAGTAGCATTAAAACGAGCTAGAGTTAAATCACCCGAGGAATTTAAAACACTATTTGCTGATATTGAAAAAGAAGTATCGGACTTGAATTTACCCCAACAAAAAATGAATGAATATAATCCTAGTTTAAATGGTAATGGTGTTTACAATTTTATCAATGGTGACCATGATGATGATGATGCTGATGCTGTTAAAATGGGTGATATAAGATATGGTAGGTGCTTTCAAGATCAATTTAATAAATTAAATTCTAAAAACTTTTTTTTTAATATTATATTTTATTTTATTTTAAAGACAATGATGTCTCAATGACAAATCAAGAATATATAGAACTGAATGAAAAGGTTAATGAACAATCTTCACCCAAAATCGGCGAAAACTTACCAATCCAAGGCAACGTTATGGCCGATAATACCACAATCCAAGAAGTATCCACAAACAATCGCGGCCCTGATGATAACAATTCATTAGAAAATGCTGATTTGACCAAACCTGAAGATCCTAATGAAGGTTTTTATAACGAAGCTCGGGAATTTTTATCAGAACAAACACATGAAACAATAGTGCCATCATACTCTGCATGGTTTGAATTCAACAAAGTTCATGAAATTGAAGAGAAGGCTTTGATTGAATATTTTAACAACAAAAATAAAACCAAAACTCCTGAAATCTATAAGGAATTTAGAAATTTTATGATTAACACCTACCGTCTTAATCCTCGAGAATACTTGTCAGTTACCGCATGTCGTAAAAATTTGCCAGGTGATATTTGTGGAATTATTCGTATTCATGCTTTTTTGGAACAATGGGGATTAATTAATTATCAGGTTAAATTTTCATATTATCAAAAAGATTTTTTTTAAAAGATAATTTTATCTTAATCTTTATTTTTATTTTTTCTTTCGCAGCCTGAATTCGGTTCGTACAATTATTCTGCTGTGCCTCCATTAATCGGGAAATTCAAAATTACAGCCGATATGCCCAAATGTATTCAACCTTTTCCTCAAAATGATGCTCGTGCTGAAATTGTTAATAACGTTCAAAAAACACCAAATACCAAAAAAGTTTCTAAAGTTTCTGATTCTTATAATCCCAACCCAATTTTAATTATCCAAAACATTTATAACACCAAGATCATCAATGATAATAAGGATGTAACTGATCAGAATAAGAAAGCAAAAGAGAAAGATCGTAGCTGGACGGATGCTGAAACTTTATCTCTTCTCGAGGGAGTAGAATTGTATGGTGAAAATTGGAATATGGTGGCTCAACATGTTGGTGCAAAATCAAAGGATCAATGCATTTTACATTTTCTTGAACTCCCGATTGAAGATCCTTTGAAGTTTGCTAAAGTTTCAAATACAAAACCATCATCGTCTGATTCTTTCATGTCATTCAGTCATATAGCTAATTCTGGTTTATTTGACGTGGATGCCAAAGAAGTAAACCTCATAGCGAAAACAATTACAAATAATTTTGATTCTAAAACTGAAGAGGCTGAACATCAAAAGAATGAAAAGTATCATTTGGCTAATGCAATAATGGAAAGTAGATTCAAGAAGCTTGAACTTAAGCTTCAACAATTTGAAGAATTGGAGAAGTTAATCGAGGAAAATAAGAGAGAATTACAACAACAAACCAATGAATTTTTTCGTGAAAAATTTCAATACCAAAAAGAGGTGATTACGTTTAAAAAAAGATTGAGAGCACTTGACAATAATGATGACAATAACAATAACAATGGCAATACCGATAACAACAACAACAGTAACAACCAATAGTATTAAATTTAGATTTATTTGGATAAAGCATATTTATATTAAGAACTTTATATATAATTAGAATTTTACTGATTAATTTCAAGTCATAATTTTTTATATTACATATTTGCTTGAAAACTTTTTGTATAAAATTTTTTTAATGATTAATTTTTTAAATAAAATAAAATAAAATAATTGCATGTTTTAGATGCATGTATCGGAAAAAGTATTTCACTAACAACTAACTTTGCTTTCTATCTATAGAACGTTGTTGACCGGATTATCTGGTTACCAGTTTCTCCGAATGATCAATTTTGAGAATGGAAGAAGCTTCGCTGTTTTCAATGGCTGTTTAACTTGTTTTATTGTTATTACATTTAGTGCTACGATTTTTTACTTGAAGTTTGCCCGAGTATTTGAGCCCATTTTATTTTTCTTTGATTATTAGAGTTTCGAGAATGGATTTGTTGATTATGGAATGAATTGGTATCAATCGGATCACTGTTATGATCACTATTAACGGAATTTTGACGCTTATTTGAATCCCTGTCGTGGTCACTGTTAGCAGAATTTTGATGTTTATTTGGATCACTGCTACAATCACTGTTACTACGATCACTGTTAGCTGAATTTTGACGCTTATCTAGATCCCTATTACGATCATTGTTAGTTGAACTTTGACGCCTATATGAATCATTGTTACGATTACTGTTAGCTGAATTTTGACGATTATCTGGATCCTTGTTGTTGACTGAATGTTGACGTTTATTTGGATCATTGCTACGATCGTTGTTATCTGAATTTTGACTTGGTGTTGAATAGGATGGTGTGGTCAATAATTTATTAAGCATGTCATTTATGATTGAACTTGAATTATCTTGTAGTTCATCATTTAAAGATTCATGATCTTTTGCTGTCGGTAGTGATGGTGGTGGTGGTGCAATAGATCGAGGGAAAACTTTTGCATGAGTGAAAACTTTACTTTTACTCGAATCATTCAATTCCGTTCCAATCAAAGGAAAATAACAAATATCCACAACATAATCATCCAAACAATCATCACCCCATTGTCCTTTCATAAATTGAATATTTATTTTTTCGTCATCTTTAAACCAGAGTGTTTCACATTTTGGTTCTTGAACTAATAATCGAAATTTAAATATCCTAACAACATCTTTGATAAGATTTTCTGCAAAATTTTCTACACTCTTTCTTTTAGTATCATCCTTGATATAACGGTACCCTGTCATTAATTGATTAAGGTTTTTTGCTCCGAATACTACAAATGGATGCATATATTGCTTTTTTGTATTCTCAGAGAATCCAAATTCGCCTAATATACCATAAACTTGTTGACGTATTTTTGTTGGAATAGCTTTAATCACATTATTATCTTCTTTAAAATGGTTATTATAAAATTTATCAAGAAGAAATATTAATTTATTTGCATGATACATTATATATTTTTCCTGATTATTAGGATGGTTTGGATCATCATCTTCTTTAATCTCAAGATAATTATCAATATATTCAAAAATTTTTTCTAGAACATGACGCTGTAAAACTGATTTCATCAAAACTTTATCAGTTAGATTTTGAGTATCTAAATTATATTTTCCATATAATCCTTGAATTTTATTATTATCAATTTTTATAGAACCCTTTAATGTAGTAACATATCTCTCAAGTTTATCCTGTAAAGAATTTATATCAGCTGAGAGTTGGACTGAATCACTCAAACAAAAATGATATGATGGGACTTCCTTTTTTATGTTGGCACTTTCAACCTGTAATTCTCTGTTCAATTTTTCAATAGCTTCAATCATAACAGCTTTGCTACGAACATCTGTTTCAAGTTCAATGGTTTTTTTCTCAGCATAATCTTTAGATTGTTTTAAATCTTTTTCCAAGTTATTTATTCTTTCTCTATCATAATTATGCCTTTCTTTTAAATCTATGATCATTGAATTGTAAGCTATCTCAGCTTCTTTACATTGAAGCAATTCTCTTTCGCAATTAGATAAATCTTGAGTCAAACTATTGATTTTTTCTTTGTATTTTGGTTCAATTTCTTTTTGATATTTAGTAAAATTATCAAAATAAAATTCTTTCTCTTGGGTTATAATTTTATTTTTCTCTTTTAATTTTCTATTTTTTTCATTGTAAGTTGGTTCAAGAATTTCTCGATATTTGGTTAAATCAAACTTATAGTTTTCCTTTTCTGTTTCTAAATCTTTGTTTTCTTTTAGCAAATCAATGTATTTTTGATAGTAATCAATGTTTTTTGAATATCGATTTTCAGTATTTTCTTGATTTAGGGCAAGTTAGAATTATTTCATTCCAAAAATATTCAAATATTCTTGCAAAATAAAAACGTCTTACCTGAATCTATATCAACTAATCCATCTATAAGTTCAGATGTAGTGGTCATTTTTTATTATACAAAATTTGGATTTAACCAAATCGGTGCCTGTGTAATATATATTAATTACAGTCTAAGCTCTCTCTATACCGAGCTTCTTTATAACGAACACTGAGTGAAATTTCTTTGTAACGAATTTCCCTTTTTCAATTTTTCATAATTAATTTCTCTCTCTATAAAGAGCAAAAGCAGGAAAATTGCATATAAGGGACAGAGGGTTCGGTAGAGAGAGCTTAGACTGTAGTTGGCCTTTTGGACATAGCATAATAATAAGGATAATGAATTGATCAAGTTAGCAATAATATAATAATATAATAAATCTAATTTGTAAAAATAAAAATAAAGCAAATATTAATGGTTGTTTCCATCTTGTCTAGCGAGTTTCCACTTTATAATGTGTATGTAAGGGTACATCTGTAATTGCTTTTAAAAATCCATAATCAAAGCAAATTCATGAAGCATCGGGTATCATCAGTTTGCAATAAGGTGCGATTAATTTTTAAAGATAACAGACCGGAAATATGGGTCCAATTAAAATTACCTCATATTTGTCTATAACAGTCTCTCTTCATAATGGTTTTTTTTGCTGAAACAGATGGGCCATTATAGAGAAAAAAAAACTGCATATGAGTTCAAAGCTTCATATTTAAATAACAAAAAATACCAACTAAAGGTTATTCTACAAGTTAAAATTGTCTCATTTATATAAAGTTTGTAATAAAACGATTACTCTTGAATATATTTAACATATTCTTTTTGCCAAATCACAGCGATTAGGAATTCGACAGCTTTATTAAAAAATCTATATAAAAATGTCAGATTCATCAACTTCCATCTTTAAATTCCACTAAAATTAGATGGATATTTATAACACACGAGTTGATGAGCATAACAAGGAAGGAAAACTTTCTTACAATTATTATTATTTTAGTAATTTGTTAAAAATTAATAGCATACTTAGTCGCTGCATATTCACCTTCATGCTGCTCTAATCGAGAGAGCAGTAATTAATAATGGTGGGTCCTTTACAGGAAACATTGAAAATGAAATACAATGATAGATAGATTGATCGATGTAAATGTTAAATTAAGTGAATCAGCATATCTAATGAGATCAACCGAAAGGACCAGCTATTCAGTCATTAAGACAAAAAAGAAAATTTTTGAAGATAATTACAAGATATATAAATTATTATTGCTATAGATGGGCGTCTAAATTGTTTTTGGGGTTGTCTAAAGTCAAAATAGTATTTAGACAAATGTCTAAATTAATATAAATAGTAATGATTTGCTTTAAATAGCTGTGCAATGATTGTTTGTATAAACTATAAAAAGGTGAAAGTATGACTATTTCCTACTAAAAAAAATTTTTCTAATTTCAAACAAACAGTCATGTCCAATACTCCACTTCCATCAGTTGAAGAAGTTAATAAATGGAAGCGAAACAATGTTACTAAATTCTTACAGGACAAAAAAGAAGAGTTGGATCTTGAGGAAAAGCACATCAAAATTATCAAGACCAAGAGGTTGCTGGTCCAGCTTTCCTCGAGTTGAGTGTGGATGAACTCATCCAAGTTGGATTAAAAATGGGACCTGCTAAAACGATCATTGGGTTGATTAACAAAATTAAAGGAGAAGAGCAAGGTAAGTACCATGACTGCATTTGAATATTCTAAACCTATACTGCTTTCTTTGCAATAATTTCATTTGTTAAATTGTGCCTCATACATTTATTCCAATATAGAATTAACTAACAAGCACAGGAAAATCAGTCTATGGGATGAAACTGAAAAAGATCCAGGAAAATTTTGGAAATCTTGGAGAATGCAAAAATTGATAATAATTTCCTTCGGCTGTCTGAGGGCATCTATTTCTTGGGTGATAAAGAGCAGGGCGCCATTCTATACATCCATAAATGTTATGACCACTTAGCTAATATTGTCTTTAATGAGAAAATACATTGTTGTCGTATTACTGGTAATCCTGGAATTGGCAAAACTGTTTTCGAATTTTACCTACTTTATTTGCTTTCAAAGCAAAACAAAACCATTGTGTACCACAAAGCTTGTCAATATCCAATTCTCTTCAACAAGCAACATACCTTCTGTAGTGATAATATCTCTGACTTTAAAGGATACTTAGACAATACAGATGTCTGGTATATTGTAAATGGTCAACCACCACTCCAAGTTCATGCTAAGACAATTCTTTTCTGTTCTCCCCAAAAACAACATTACAAGGAATTTGATATGATGGAGGAGAGAATGAAGAGAATGAAGAGGCTCCCTACATTCAAAAATTCATACAATTTGCATCTGAATGGGTGGCTGAAAAAGTGATGGACAAACTCAAAAGGAATTACAGTCAGCAGTTAAGGAATTTTGTGATAGCAAGCTCATCAGAAAATGAATATAGTACGCTTTGGGGCGTCATATTTGAACAGATCACACATCGAATTTTACAAAAGGGAGGAACATTTAATATTCGTCCTTTAGAATCCAACGTCACAAGTTCTACAATTGAAATTCCAGAACAGATCAAGTTGGTATTTAATGACATTAATAAGATTGAGGAGGGCAAGTACTGTCAACTGATTCAAAAGAATTTTACATCTGTTGATGCAGTTGTTGCACCTGACACACTCTTTCAGATGACCATAAGCAAATCCATCCTATTAATATGAATGGCATGAAAAAGCTTGTTAAAAAATTGGGTGGAAAATCAGGAACAAATCATATATATTTTTATTTTGTCCTACTGAAAGATTTATTTGATAAAACTGTTGCTAAGAAGATACCATGTTGGGTTACTAATTGTGTTAAGCAATACGCATTGGAAATTTACTTGAGTTCCTGATAAGTTTACTGTATGGGTTAGATTATGTTAATTTTATCATGTATTACAGACCTGTGTGATTTTTATTATTGCAAATTTTTATAAAAAATATCTTTATTGCACAAAAATCATTTTTTACATGTGGTGGGACAATGGGATGGATTTGTGTTAATTCGTTAATTGGATTTGCCTTTCAGCTGAAAAATTCAGGGATCTTGATTTTCATTACTAATAATTATGGAGGGCTAAAGATAAGCACAAGGGATGAATTCTTTGATCTTTATTATTACAATTCACAATTACATATTCATGACTTTCTTTTCTTTACAGGGTCTATAATTAGAAACAATTATGCTGGAGTTTCCTTACATGATTGCAAAAAATCCGAATTCATTTCTTGGGCTGCCACAAAACATATAAAAATGAAGCATGTTTCATTGGTTAGTCCTTTTATTTGCTTTGTGCAGTAAACAAAAAAATCAAAGGAAAATTAAAACCAATAATATTATACTTAACTCATTAAACTGCAAAACTACTATATGAGTATAAATCCACAAAACATAGGAACTAAGGGTATGATGGTTCAAATGCATTAGCCTGAAAAATCAAAAGAAACTAAATCACCCTATGTAAGTTTTATTAAAATTAAAATAATATTTTTTTAAGATGGGCAATATCTGTTTATAGCATATGCAACTAATTTAAATGGTTCTTCAACCAAAAGACTTGATCCCAACATTTTTTCATATATACACAATAATTTATTAAATAATTTATTATTTGCTGGAATCTTTTATTACAATCTTTGACATTTCAAGTCAAATACTTAATATACAAATATGAAATAACAGAAATTTATTTATGAGCAAATTATTTCTATCTATATGAGGAATTGTAAGGAAACCCTTTTTCCTTACGTCAAAATACTATAATTATTTTAATTATTATTTAAAAATACAAGTTATACAAGTTATCTTTATTAATTACGGAAAGCTTATCTTTTTATACAAAAATGCATAATATAATATTACAATTAAATAAATAAAAATAATATCTTAGAACTTCCCGGAAAGCCGCAGCACTTAATTTGTAACTCATATACATAAGAAAATAATATAAATAATAACAATACGAGTAATATAAATAATAAATAATATAAATAATAAGTAATATGACAATAATATATATAAGTAAAGTTGTAACGTTTCGTTTTAATTTAACGCGATACGCGAAATAAATTTCGTATTACTGTGCCACATTACATATTCGCAATTATGAACGAAAAAGAACTGTTACAGGAATAGACAAAAACTTTAAGAAGATTCAATGAGCTTATTCCTGAAAAAAGAACCTCAAGTCTTTGTGAAATCTCAAGCCATGAAAAAGAAACCAAAAAAATTGAAAATAATTTAACATCAATAAAAAATCTAATATTCCAAAGGAACCTATACTTGGATTAAATCAGCTTCAAATATGGGTACATCTGAAGAATGCCAAGAAAGAATTTTTTAGTAAGTGGGCATTTAAAGATAATTCAGAAAATAAACAAAAAATAACCTTAGTGCCTTTAATTTTGGAACATTTAAACAGAGGTACATCTTTTCTGTGGAAGTCTTAACAAAGTAACAAATTTTTATGTCTTAAATTTTCAATAGTGATTTTGAAGTTAATTTCAATTTATAATTTTTGTAATGAAAAATAAATAACGTAACCAATTGTTGCTCAATTCAATTGAAAACACTTCATCTTCGTAGAATTAGTATGAAAGACCTTGACTTTCAAAATCAGCTACTTAAAAATAAATGTATAAGTTTTTTTCGCGAAAAAAAAGATTTTTTATATAGTAAAAAATATTCGTGTAATGGATTTGTCAAGTTTCAGAACTGGCGATCTCGTTTACAATTGTGTTGGACCCCATTAAATTGACTAACCCTAGAAATTACGCGTCATTTGACACGTAACAAGGCCAGTAGTATATGGGACGTTTCACAGCAAAAAACACCTCTGGAGTCATCTGACCAAAATTGAGCTTTTTATCTATAATAATTGGTGAAAACATTAGACCCTATTTGCTTAATAAAAACGGGGAATTTGCAACGAATATCTTCTTTAAAGTAATAGTAATTTGCACAAAATAATAAATTGATCTGCACACCCCATTTTATTTTTACACGCAATAAAATTTTTTAAAAAACACACATTATTAATATTAATACACATTAAAATAAAATCAATAAATATTAGGTTCTGGACAAAGAATATCTTTAAATGGGTCTTCTACATGTTGGCGAATTTTTGTAAACAAATATTTTTTTCTATCATCTGTTAATGGAGCAACCTCAATAATATTTAATTAGCCATCCTTATCAAAATTATCATTCTTTAGAAGTTTAAAAGAAATTTCCAAGCCACCAGATTTTTCAGGAACATAAACTTTTCCAATATCCTTACTACTAAAGCAAAAATGATGATATTTTTTTTATATTTGATAATTTTCTGAAATTGTCATTAAATAGTAAGCTAAAGTCATACCATTTACATCACATACCATTTTTATATCTAATAGATTGATTATTACAATTTTTTGATGAACCATTTATAGCTTTCTTCAACATGATCAACAGTATTTATAACTCTATTTCTATATACTTTTTTAATTGATCCAAACAATCCATCACACACAAATTTAGTGTGACCAGGTATCATAAAATATATATATATATTTTCATACCAACCCAATATTATCAACCATGACCAAAACCAAAGTGATAAGTTATTCTTAAACATTATCACATGTCACATATAGGTCTTTTTTCTCATCATGATGATTCCTTTTAAGAAAATCAAAAACCATACATAAAATTGAATTGGCTCCTTTTGGTATTCCTTGTGGCAATTCATCTTTACCTATAGTATAATTTAGCTGATAATTGTTGCCTCCATTGGTTTTAGTGCATCCAAAGAGTTGTATGGCAAAAGGAGTTTTAAAATAAATTGAGCCAACTTGTTGAGGTGAATACAGTGCAGAAACACTTTGAGCATAATCATAGCAAATGTGAGTTAGCATTAAATCATTTTTAGATTTTTCAATAATTTTGTTATAATGTTGTCTTTCACAATCTGCAGCTGCAAGATGATCATCAAACTTGAATTGCATGTCAATCTCTTCATCCTCCTCATTTAATGATTTTAATTTTAATAATTTTAATCTAAAATTTTCACAAACCTCACAAACCTCACAAAGATCACTTGAGCAATTTAAAAATTTAACATGTGGTGTTAATTGACTCCAAAGTTTTACAAAAGCTCCATATTTTAAATTAATTATAGAAATGCCATAACTATCAACAAAGCCTTTTACATATTCATTAAAAACTGAGGTATAATTACATTTAATTTTTAAATAAATAATTGGGTCTGAATTGTCACGAATTCTCATTGGAGATGGCAATCCATATACACACCCTTACAAAAAGTATTGACTCACTTGATGATCCATAAAAATAATTGAATAAACAGGTAATAAAAATACTCATTTTGTTACTAAGCAAATCGAAGTTGCATATTAGTAAGAAAATGTTTGTTGAACTGATTATCATAACACTTTAAAATATCACATTGGGCCGATTGTTATTGATAATTTTATGATGTTTAAAAGTCAAATTAAAATTTTTCGAAAATTTTTCGAAAAAGTAGCACTTAGAGCTATTTTAAGATACAATGTTTTAACACATCTTGGAAACTTAGAAAATGTTGTTCCGTTTGTAATGTAAAAAAATTTTCACCAACAGTTTGTATAATATTTTTACATAATAAATCTTTATTAAATTTATATCAAAGTATCAAAAAAGTATAAATATTTCATTCATTTATTGCTGTCTACTAATTTTTGCAAATAATCATGATCAAGATTTACCCATTCATCCATTAAATAAGAAATTAATTCATTTGTATTTTTTTGGGGAGCAATAGTAGTTTGATCTTAAATGCTTTTATTGCACAAGTTACTTGTGACTGAGAATGATTGAGTGCACCAACAATGTCACAAATGCTTTCATCTGCTTCCCAATGTCCAATTATTCAAAGTCTGTTAATTGAGACATGATGTTTTAATTGAAATAACAAATTGAAAGTTCAATCTTTTTTTTTTAAAAAAATCTAGTTTTGGTTAGATATTTCAGCCGTAATTGCCCTTTAAAGTTTGTTTGCACATAATGATAATTGTCTTGCATAAAAAATTCATTCTGAATTTTTTTACGTTTTGTATTAATGCTCCATGAATATTCGATCAATAATTATGAATGTGTATATATATACATTTGAGAACAAACGGAACAACATTTTCTAAGTTTTCAAGATGTGTTAAAACATTGTATCTTAAAATAGCTCTAAGTGCTACTTTTTCGAAAAATTTTCGAAAAATTTTAATTTGACTTTTAAACATCATAAAATTATCAATAACAATCGGCCCAATGTGATATTTTAAAGTGTTATGATAATCAGTTCAACAAACATTTTCTTACTAATACGCAACATCGATTTGCTTAGTAAAAAAATGAGTATTTGTATTACCATTTATTCGATTATTTTGATGGATCATCAAGTGAGTCAATACTTTTTGTAGTGGTGTGTAGGTTTGCATAATTTAATATAAATTGCATCACTATTTCTGCTAATTCTATATTAACAAATGCATGTGACTTAAGTTTGGGAATATTTTTTATATTATCATGTTGATGATCTTCCAAACCATTTGTTTGTAAATGTTTTTGCAAAGCTTTTAACACATCTACTTTAATATTACATAGCTTTAAGAATACAGGTTGGCAAATGTATATTGTTGCATTATATTTGTATTGATATTTAATAAGTGAATCTCCACTGTCAAATTTGAAAACCATCAATTGTTGTGGTGTTCCATGGCTGTTGATTATCAAACATATGTTACATCAATATAACAAATTATTATGTGCGGATTTTTTAGTATCTTTATCATATATTTCAACACATTGTAAATGTTGACAACAAAATTCAACTAACAATATATTTTTTTGAAAACATGAATTATAAAAAGAAATTTCTATTAATTTATCAGTTACAATGTAAATTTTTATGGTAAAATTTAATAATAAATCAAATAACTTTAAACCATGATAATTTTTTTTTACATAATAAAATTAAACAAAACTTTTTATAATTTTATTGTTTAAGTCTTCTACAATAAAGTTACAGAGAGCTTTTTTTCCTATATTGTTTGGTTATAAAGTTTTTCTATTAGCAATCTTTTTTCAATTTCTTTAGAATATATAAAAAAATTTATTTTTATTTAGCAAGAAAAAAAACTCTGTAATCTAAAAGCTTAATCTATTTACTATAATTTCCCTTAGTTTCATGTCTGTATCTCTTTATTTGAAGACTCTGATGCAATTTTTATTTATATAGTTTTTACGTATATTCTTATTTTTTTAAAAAAAAGTTTGTTATTGATCAGCATTATGTTTGCCATCATGGGTACAGTGTATAAAATTCAATGCCCGCAATGCACGGGTGTAACGTCATACATTAGTAATTTCCCGCAGATAGTTTCTAAATTTGTAAAATAGCTTCTAAATTTGCACTAGTTACACACCGAATTTATACACTGCATGGGTATAATTAGAATTAAAGATCTGGATACTGTACAAAAAAATCATAAAAAAAAAGTAGCAAATAATCAAAAATTCAAGCCAAACTATGGCTCATATTGAGGGGCAAAACTAATGTGTAAACCTTTTCAGAGTATATTAACTATTTTTTTAAACAAAATTTTTGATGTAATATTATTGGTTTTGGTATCCAAAAAAACCTTTAAATGGCCAATCAAAATTCGAAAATCAACTTCCATTTATGGTATAATCTCAGATTGTATAACGGTTGTGCCACATATCGTGTAATGTCACACTGAAAATCATTTATATTCATATTTCTATATTTATATTTATTAATTTATAATTTGTATTGCCCAGTTTACCCAAATATTTACTTAGCATTAATAAACATATTTTATTGGACAAAATAGGGTAAAAGTCATGTTGTTTGTAATACCCAAAGAGGTATAAAAGGACTTGGTTTTAGACCAAGTTAGAATCATCATGTTCTATAACAATCTTTTAATTATTGATCTAACAATTAACACTTTCCTAACACTCTAATAACACTGTAATAATAATAATATCACTATTAAAACACATAATATTTACTCTTGACTTTGAATTAGTTGATCCTTTGTTAATTAATAAACTGACAGAAAGAGACCTTTGCTGAGTACAGCAAGAAACCATAACCTTAATTATTGAGATGTATATCAGGGTAAGGTTTCTGGCCAAAATTGCTTCTATTAGTAGCCGAAATTGCCCAAATACTTTGGGCAAAAAAATTTTTTTTATAAGGCACAATTATTTTAAAGTTGTTTAAGTTAAAACAAGTTGATTCATATAGTTTTTTAATGTTCATGCTTATAAAAAATGTTCAGAAGCCCAAATTGCCCAAACTAGTTTGGGCTTTGAGAAAACAGTTTGGACCAGAAACCTTAATCAGGGGGATGCCTTTGGGATATAGATAGTTAAAGAATCTAGGAATATTTTATCCAGGTGAGTAGGCTGTAAGATAAAAGAAATTTTGACTATAAGTCAGTGAGTAGGCTGTGTGTGAACATAAAATAACTTATTAAATAAGAAACTCGGATTGCATGCTTACTGTACTAATATATATGGCTTTAAGAGGAAAAAGCTATCTATCTAAAGTGCTCATAAAAGCACTGAGAGAAAAACACCACATGTGCATTACTGCCATGACAGCATTTAATATTGGTGGTATGACATTACACTCTTGTTTGGGATTAAGGATATATTTAGGCAAATGGAATGTGGATGAATTAATAACTAGAATAAAAAATTCAAATGAATCTTATGAAAGATGGAAAGAAATTGAAATTTTGTTGATTGATGAAAGTAAGTTTTAATATTTATTTCATTATGCAATCCAATTGTCTTGCTAATGTCAAGAACATGTGCAACATTGAATCGGGTTTGTATAATTTATCTTGAATTTTTCCCTTTTTATATGTGGCTTGAATGATGGAGTAAATATTACTCTTGTATTACAAATTATAAAAATAATTTCTCCCTTTTTTTTTATTATTTCTTTTATTAATAATATCTCTTTTAAGTATCCATGCTCAATGGTGTCTCATTTGATTATACATGCCGCCCAAATCCCAAATGCACAAACTAAATTTGGGGCATCCATTGAAGAATTCCCAAATCCCAAATGTAGATCAGTTTTCTCAGCATCTATACATTGGATCAATTGGAAGAAATTGCAAGAATAAAAAATGTTAATAAGCCATTTGGTGGTATACAGGTCTGTTCAGAATAATATATTTGTTTTGATATTTTCACAGATACTGAATTTTGGAAATTTTAGCTTAACCAGCAATTTTTATCAACTACCACTGATCTGTAAATTAAAAAAACCTAAATATTGCTTTGAATCCCAGTCATGGCACAAATGTTTGACCATACAATTCAATTAACAAAAATCCATAGACAAAAGGATCCAGGTAGACTTTTGAAAAGGTTAACAAAAAATTTTTTTGGGTTATTGAATTTCTTTATTGGGCTATTAGAATTTATAACAATGTTAAATGAAATTAGATTGGGAATATTAACCAGCAAAACCAATGAAATAATGGAAAATTTGCAAAAGAAATTTCCAATTATTGATGATGAAATTGAGCCTACTGAACTGTATGTTAAAATTTTTTTATAATAATTGAGAATAGTATTCTTTTAAATAACTTTTGAAACAATGTTAAAATTCATTAAATTAATTATCAGGTATCCTACCAAAGCTTTAAAAATTCTGAACGACTTGGAAAGATACTGTAAAGAATTCATGAAGAATTGCTTTAAAAACAAATTAAACACTTTACTACAAACAAATACTTTAATTGTGGTAAAAATATAAGTTATTCTTTATTCTTTTTAAAAATAATATCATATTTATAATATAAGAAAAATAAGATAATCTCATCTATCTGAATATTTACTAAACATGATTAGCAAAAATACTTAAAATATAAATTAATTTGTTTGCTGTTAATGTTTAGTTATTTTCTTAATTTATTCATTGTACTCATAATACAAAAAATCTAAATTGTTACAGATACTGTGTAAAAAATATGTTTATGAATCAAGAGATTGGGAGCCAGAGAAAGGTGGTGATTTATATACACTCAATAATGAGTGTGCTGCAAAAAAATGATTAGAAATAAAATGAGGCTCACAGATGATGCTAATCACAAACTTAAATAGATCATTAGTAAATGGCACCAAAGGAAAAGTAATTGGATTTTATTTGTCAGAAATAAATGAATGTTATTACAGTCAAACCTCGCCACAGCAAATTCATGGTTCCAGTCAAAAAATTCATTATGACAAGAAATTCCCTGTGGTCGAATTGGTGATGATCAGCAAAAATGTTTTAATAATTTGATATAGTTGGCTTGGTCTAAAGTAAGGTTGCTTGCCAAAATTCCTCCAGAAATCAATCAGCAGGGTTTCAGCAGGTTACACATTAATTGTTTATTAGAGTTTTGGCAGAGTTTCACATTTTGAGGTTTTGCCATT